TCAAGATTCAGGATTTTCTGTATAATGTAACGTAGAAAGTCTAACCTCCCTCATCCGATACTCAAGGACTCCTTGACCTGTCTTAGTGTTACTTCCCATTACCCCACCACATCCCATCAAGACTAGTGACTCAGTAGCCCAACTTACTGTGTATTTAAGACAAAGCAAAACAAATCGAACAGAAACATGGACTAGGTCAGTGGTATAAGGCTTTGCTGGAGCTTTGGGTTCCAGCCCCAGTGCTGCTATAGCAAAAAATAGGGAGAGGTTCCCCTTCTTCATCCCTTCTTTAGCAGGGTTATCCTACTTGGAGAAGGAGGTGAGAAAAAAGGATCAAATTGAGGAATTAATTCACTTAACTGTATCAACAGCCCTCTAACAAACATTGGGTCCCAGTTTAGAACAGCATCCTACTTTGGCTGAGCTGTGAAGAGAGGATGTGGAGTGCCATTAACTGTGAGCATCTCCCCCAAAACAATGAAAACTTTTTTGGGGGATGGCCTTCTGTACCTGTCTGCCCATTTATATTGGATGTGTACTGGCAGCCAGAACCTGCTTTGTTCCTCCTGAGAACACTGCACTAATTTGCAGTCATGTGGATATCAGACTAGCTTTCCGAATCCAAGCATTCTGAAGGCAGACCCTGTATCTCTCCACCTTTCCCTCTCTCCGATTGTTCATATCCTTGTCTCTAAGAGACCACATTATCTTGCATTCAGTTAATTGGTTCAGTTAAGTTCAGCACGTGTTTAAACTCTTGCATTTACTAATAAAGAATAACTGAATGGATTTTTAAAAAAGGCTGAATCTACTAACGTATACATGGATCTTTTATTTCTGCATGTCCAGCACCAAAGATGTTCTTTGAGCCTTGATCTTGGAAGAATTATTACTCACCATTTATTTTTTAAAGATTAATATACACTCTGATGTACGTGGGTATGCACACAACACATTTGTGCAGGTGTCCACAGAGACCAGCAGACAGCATCCGCATGTAACTCCAGAAACTGGAGTTACATGTGGTTGTGAACTGCCTGAAGTGGAGGCTAGGGACTGAAGTTGAGTCCTCCGGAAAAGCAGCAAGTGCTCTTGACTACTGAGCTGCTTCTCCTGTCCAGTGACTCGTAATGTCTAAGGCAGAATGGTCAGTAGA